ATCAGGAGGCATCCTGTCGCTGTCCTGAGTGCGGTGTTCTGTGCAGTCTGTAGCTTCGTCCACTGCGTCCTACTAGTCCCCGGCGACCACACTGGCGCTGCGTAGTTCAAAACCGGCCGGCCTATTGCCTTGTATGTTGCCAGCAACGTTTCTTTGTCTTTGCCCCAAGTACTGCCGGCTAACGACTTGAGGACCTTGTTGCGGCTCTGTACTTTATTGACAATAGCGGTTGCGTGCGCATAGAAGGAGAGCAGGCTGTCGAATGTTACTCCGAGTATTTTGGGGTTATTCACCGTCGGAATTGGTGTGTCATCGACGTGAATTCCCAGCGGTAGCCTGACCTCCTTCGTCCAGGTTGTGAACACGGTCGCAGAGATTTTCGTAGGGGAGAGGGCTAGACACTTTGCAGTGAAGAAGCGAGAAAGTTCGGAGAGATACCCGTTTACTTTCGAACACAGGTCATCAATTCCATTCCCAGTCGCCATGATCGAGCAATCGTCGGCGTAAGAGACAATCGAGACTCCCTCTAGTGGTTGAGGGAGCTTTGAAATATAAAAGTTAAACAGTAGCGGGGAAAGGACACCACCCTGTGGAACCCCCTATTTTATTTTCTTCTGTTTACTCGTTTTGTCTCTAAACATTACCGATGAATGTCGACCACTCAGATAATTTGCCGACCACCGTTTGAGCCTCTGTGGGAGAGAGGAAGCCTCTATATCTTCTAGTAGCGTGGAATGGCAGACGGTGTCAAACGCCTTTGACAAGTCCAACGCTACTAGAATCGTTCTCTCACAGGGACACACAGGGACGGCACAGGTTGTTGGCAGTTGGCGAGATAGACGTCGGTTGGTTAGGGGAGCGCTGTGAAGGTGTTTTCGGTAAACTCCGCGTAACCTTTCCAATCAGCTTTAGAAAAGTTGATATAGGTCCGGTGTTTGACGGAGGCAAAGTCGGTTGGTTTATCTATCGAGATGACTATGGGTAGGTGGTCTGATGCTAAAGTCAGCATAGGTCGCCATGTCATGCTGTTTATCAGACCAGCGCTGACTATGGTGATGTCTGGCGAGCTACTGCAGTTACCCATAATCCTGGTGGGTGTGTCGTCGTTCATTGTGCAGAATGTCGAATCGTCTATCTGCTCAGCCAAGTCTGTTCCCCTACCATCGTTTGACAAGCTTGAGTGCCAAAGATCGTGGTGCGCATTAAAGTCACCTATTTCGAGCTCAACATCGCCTGACCGGATATCGATGCCCTGACATTCTAGGGTGGTATCCCTGCGGTCGATGTCTGCTTCGATAAGACGATACTGCACGGTGTGGTGCGTGATGAACGCTAAGCCACCACCATTATCTCGCTCGCGATCTCGACGGTGCACGTTGTACCCGGCGCAGTTCAACAAAGTTGAATTGCTGTGCAACTTCGTCTCTTGGACCGCAGCTATCAATATACCATGCCGACACATGAAGACGGTTATCTCCTCAATCTTGCTCTGTAGCCCGTTGCAGTTAAATGGAAGGAGCTTCATGTGGTTCGGGAGACGTGTCGTGATGTGGGGTGTAAGGGATGTGTGTTCTTACCGCCGTTGGCTGTGTGCGCTGCTGTGATGGTTGCCGCCCTGTGGTGGTGGCGGGAGGCGTCGCAGTTGAGGTCTGCGACCGAGCAGCGCAACACGGGCCCTCGAAGTTCCCAGTCCAATCTCGCGTGGTACGCAGACCTGAGCATGCCCTAAAGTGGCACCAGCCAAGGCAGGTGTTGCACTTGACTGATGTCACATTACGGAATATCCTGGTCTGACATACCGTGCAGATTGTAGGGGGACCAGGAGTTGTTGGCGGCGGCGTGTGGGTGGTGGTGCGGTTGTGTGTGTTATGTGGTCTGTCGTGGCTATGGTATGGTCTGTGGTGTTATTATGTTGTTGTGTTGTGGTGACTGTGTGAGTCTGCTCGGGTGGACTGAGGTTAGTCGTGGAGGCTGCTCTGTTTGAGCAACAGGGGCCACGTACGACGTGGTCCACTGTCGATGTGTCCGTTGTCCTGAGCAGACTCTAAGGTGACTCCACCCCTCGCAGGCATTACACTTGACTGAGGTGGAGTTGCGGTGTAGTCGTCTCCGGCATACACAGCAGGTGTAGATTTCTGGCCCTGGGTTTGACTCGATGCCAGCCCAGAGTAGAAGAATACGTAGTGAATGTAGCCCTATGGTCGAACAACTTCTGAGATACTTCGCCGACCTAAGCGGGGTTAGATCGCCGAAACAACAGCCCTTGGTCGGGTAAAACCCGAGTCATTCCGGTACGTAGAACCGGCTGTCGTGGGAATGGTGCAGCATGTTTAAAGCCGCTTGCTGGCTTGAACAGTCAAATTTCGATTATCGATAACTCTACAGCAACTGACGATAGTTGCCACTCGTAATACAAATTTTCTTTACAGTTGCGTTGCCAGCTGGCAACCGAACCGTGGTTATGTTTCTATCCGTAATCGACCCATAAATCTATAAATATATAAATTTACCTTCTTTGGCCATATCTAGATTGCAGAGAGAGAAAACTGCACTTCATTGCCCAACACACAAGTTTCGTTAAGTTATCGGTTAGAGTACCTTCGTATATCGATAAATATTCCGAAAATAAAAGAGTGGGATGGCATCTCTGCTGTGGTACCTCGCAACAAATCAAACAAACCTTTGCCTCATGTCTGCTGTCAAAACAAACGCATACTGTCAGATTCCACCAGAAATTGCAAATACGAACGGTAGAGGGAATTGCTTATTTTAACTACAATTTTGCTGAAAATAACTATAAAAAATCATGTCCGAGAGCAGTTCTAAGGATACTGTGCTGAAAACAGCGATGACATACATCTGTGGCGGTAAGTAAACGAATCCAAAAATGTAGTTGGAAGCACGATTCCTATAACTTGTCGCTTTTATGCATCTTCATAAATACAATAATTGTACAATTACAATTGTTACAATTATTGTAATAGATAAAGTGTGTCCATTACTAACCAAATTTTAAAAATTGTCCGAATTTAGTTCAGCCTATATTCCGTACAATGGCAATGTAACTACAAAACAGAGACAGTGCCCAATGAGCGCACAATTGCCTTGATAAACATGCATGTTCTTTTAGGCCATGGTCTTTTAGACCAAGTCGTTCAATACTTCGAAGTTATAACTACCCCAACAGTTGCATTGTGTCCCATTACGCGAAAACCTATGTTTTGCCAGAAGGTAATTTTTTTATCGTCTTCGTTAACTGCTGGACTACCCTCTTTAACATTTTTTTTCTAAAAGAGCCCGCACATAATACCTGTT